ACCAGAGGGGCCCCCACCACCGGGTCTTGAAGGGCTTCCGCCACTTGGTCCCGAAGGGCCCCCACCACTTGGTCCAGAGGGGCCCCCACCACTGGGTCCAGAGGGGCCTCCACCGCTTGGGCCAGATGGACCCCCACCACCGGGTCTTGAAGGGCTTCCTCCACTTGGTCCAGAAGGGCCCCCTCCACTTGGACCCGAAGGGCCCCCGCCGCTTGGACCAGAGGGGCCCCCACCACCGGGTCTTGATGGGCTTCCTCCACTTGGGCTAGAGGGGCCTCCCCCACTTGGGCCAGAGGGGCCTCCGCCACTTGGACCAGAGGGGCCCCCACCACCTGGTCTTGATGGGCTTCCTCCACTTGGTCCAGAGGGACGCCCACCACTTGGGCCAGACGGGCCGCCTGCACTTGGACCAGAGGGTCCCCCGCTGCTTGGTCCAGAGGGGCTCCCACCACCTGGTCTCGAAGGGTTCCCACCACTTGGGCCGGATGGGCGGCCACCTCCTGGACCAGAGGGGCCTCCACCACTTGGGCCAGAGGGGATCACACCACCGGGTCTTGAAGGGCCCTCACTACTTGGGCCAGAGGGGCCTCCACCGCTTGGTCCTGATGGGCCCCCACCACTTGGGCCAGAGGGTCCCCCAGCTCCTGGTCCAGAGGGCCTCCCACCTCCTGGAGTAGAAGGACTGCCGCCACTTGGTCCCGAGGGGCCTCCACCTGGTGGGCCAGATGGGCCCCCAGCTCCCGGCCTGGAGGGTCGGCCGCCTCCCGGGGAGCTGGGTCCGCCCCCCGGGGATGATGGCCCCCCCCCAGGGGTAGAGGGTCTGCCTGCTCCTGGACTTGAGGCGGGCCCTCCTCCAGGGCTACTGGGTCTCCCACCGCCTCCTGGGCCTGACGGCCTGCCGCCGCCTGGGGAACCAGGGCCCCCCCCTGGGCTGCTCGGCCTTCTGCGGGCATCAAGCTCACTGGGGGAAGAGAAGGGCGCTGTTGCTGCAGGAAATTGAGCGGCCTGGAGGCGCCTCTGGTCTTCCTGCAGGTCTGCTGCAGCGGCCTGGAGGTCTCTCGTTTCACCCGAGACTGACGGTTCCGACAGGACAACAGTTCCCAGGATCAAATGGGTCAACAGCGTCAGCAGCATATACATGAGGGCTCCCCGAAAGGGTCTACACAAGGCGCGCAGCCGAGAGCCTTGGGCTCTCGGCTGCGCTGGCGCTGGCAACTTCATGGGGCACAGCCGTGGCGAAACATGCAAATACAGAAGTCAAAGAGCTTCTTTTTCAAAAGGTTTAAAGAAAAAACGCATTCACCTTATTATTTCAATTGGTTCTCCATGAGGCTTAGCAGCTCACAATAGGGCAGCTAGCAGTTGGCTTAAGCCTTCTGGGCGCACAGCGCCGGACGCGGAGATTCGCCCGAAAATAACCCTCAAATAAACTAATTAGGACAGTTCAAACAAACGAACAAAGTAAAATAATTCAAAAAATAAACTTGTGCCCTCGAAAGGACGTACCAGATCGTGGTGGTTCAGATCACCAGCTGCTGGCGGTCGAGTGGGCAGCGGTCTGCGGTGAGACAGCGCGGGGCGTCCAGCAAGCGCAAATCCTTCTTTTTCCCTTTTGCTTCGCTATTTTTTTGAAAAGCTTTTGCATGTTTGTGTTTGAAAACGGAATAATTTTGGGAGAAACGTTGGAGGCTTAAGGCACTCGGGCCGAAGAGAAACGCAACAGTGCAGGTCACTCAGCTGGCTTGCCAGGTACTCCTCGGCTGACTCTGTGAAGTAGCAGCAGTACTCGTCGTCTTCTGTTGTAAATCTCAAATGTCTATTACCATTGTTCTTAATTCTCAGGAGTAAAGTGTAACTGTCTACACGGAGCTTCTCTCCGGGGGGTTTCTTTAATAAACCGGCAGACCGGTAGCCAACAGTAGTTGTGGCTAGCCAGCCTAGGCAGAATTTCCTTAGAGCCACTGCAGAACTACAGGGTGCCTAAAGCCAAAAAATGCTCGAGAAGGCCCCAGCAGGTCTTCGCAGCTCTTTTGGGGGCCTCTGTTGCGAGTCTTTGTCCCTTTTCTCTCGAGTTTCTACCTAGAGGGCTCAGTGAGCTCTCTAGGTCTTGCTGCTAAACATAAGAAACGAATAAATCTTTTCATCATCTTTTTTACCTACATTGGGTCTTGCAGCAGATATTTCTGTAGAGGGCAGCCCCGCTGCCCGCAGCAGCTGCGCTGCAGCAGCTGCCTGCGGCCGCTGATGATGTATATCCACGCACCTCACATATAAATATGCATAACTATACTATTATATATATATTCATATACATTTTTAAACATATCAATGCCCTCTTCTGCTGTTCCTGACCCACTTCGGCCGACTCTCAGGGGAGCCGCCCTCTGACAGTGTCACAGGGGAAAAGCCAAGCAAGGAGACCCCCCACGCCCCACCATAGCTCTCTTAAGGCTCCCTAGGGGCCCCCTGGGGCTCTATTGAGGTCGTTATGGGGCCCCCAAGGCTCTTTAGAGCTTGCAGCTGCCTCCAGTATCTTCAGATTAGTGGTCTGTTGCCTTCGGCCCAAGCGAAAATGCAGATTAAATCTACTTTTGCATTTATTTAAGTTTGCTGGGGCTGCCACCACACACAGCAAAAGAGGTTCCAGGAGCGGCTGCTTGCCCAGTTGCCTCAGGTGTGCAGACACTCCAAAAGGCTTTTTCAGTAAAGCTCTGGTTTCCAGGGTGACTTGTGCTGCAGCAAATGTTGTGCGCAGCTTTCGTTATCGAAGCTTCGCACACTGATGCTTATGGCAGGGTTGGATCGGGTGCAGTGAGATTCTACTTCGCTGAATTTTGCTGTACGCATCTCGTTTTGGTCTAGGGTGGTGTATATGGGTATGAGGGAACGATAAGCGTGCACCACCTTGTGAGGCTCTGCATTGAAGTCTACAGCGCGACGCCTAGCTACTGCATTACCCTAAGTTGCACTGACTTATGCATTGGGACACGTTGAAAATGTTGAACCGCCGTGTGATACTGAGCCTTCGCAACGTCTGCATAACCATTTACGTCATTTGTTCAAGCACAGAACCAGACGCGATTTGTCGCGATGTCGATGAGCCAATACCGCCTGAAGCCACATTTCTTTGTACGAATGGGCAGAAGAAATCAGCGATCTAACTGTACCAACTTTCGTCGACAGTTTCATCACTGGAGGGCTCACAGAAGACGGCTTCGTTTGGTTTCTGGGGACGAAGAGTGTTTGGGCTCTACGGGTATTCGATCTAAGGGCTGCAACTTGGCTTGCCATTTGGTCTGCTCCTGCACCCCATGCAAAACGCCACTTCTCTGCGACCACCGATCCACCACATCTGCATATTTTGCAAGTGGCTAGTTTGTAACACCTTGTTTACGATCAGCCTCTATGTGTGCTTCTGAATATTTCACGCCAGTCATCTGGACGTGCCTCTGTGTTTTTGTGTTAAATTAATTTGCGACGGTATGTCCGAATCCACCAGCAATGGTGCAGCTTTCACTTCCAAACAGGTCTGAAGGCATGGTGCTCTCAACAGGCCATCCACTAGACAGCATAGTCCCTGCTTCATTGTCTACCAATTTTAACGGCGGGCAAATGCCATGGCTACTTGAAATGATGAATATTATGGCAACTGAGATATGTAGCAGAGCATAGCTGCATGCATGGCGCACGTGCCACAATGCCTTTCTGTTTCACTGCAAGCAAAATGGCTTTGTTGTTTGGGCGCCTGGCGTGATGGATTATCGTTACTTCACAGCAAATCTAGCTTTGGATTGGACACCCACACTCTAGCGTAACCGTGTTATATGTGTTATAGGTACCATGTCTTTTGTATCCTTTGTCAGCATAGAGTATGCTTTTGTGCGATTCATGTCCATGTATGAATTCCTCATATTTTGCGCCTTGAATGACTGTCTGCTGCTGAACACACTGGCTTTCCTCCGCTGCAGCAGTCCGCAGAATGTTTTCTTTTCTTCACTTAAAATTAATGACTTGAAGTGTTTGCAAAATACAAAAAGGGGAAAGTAGCAAACGAATTTGCTTCCGTGACCTGAGTTTCCTGTTTCAGCAGTGGCAGTCGCCAACCGATGTGAAGGCATCGTGTCCGTAATGTTATGCTGCCGAAGTGCCAGCGTTCGCTACATCATCTACACAACGTAATAAGCGAACGTTTGGCTTAGGAACTGTGACTTTCCCTCGATATTAACGCGCTATCGTGGCACCGTGTTAGCGTTGTGCACGAACTGTCAAGGGCTCCTTTGTCGGCAGTTCCTCACCTGCTTGGACCGGAGAGTGTATATTTGTAGGGATTGCAGATAAGCAATCCCTACAAATATACACTCTCCAGATAAGCACTACAGCTACAGGCGCGCGAACTAGAGTCTGGAGTTTGATGACTTGCCCTTTCTGCGTTTGCGTGCTTTGCGCACTGTCGAGCTCCTCTGACCGGCGATGCATCGAAGTGCAACATGTTGTGTCGGAAGCGGTACTTGGATAATAAGCTGGCGGCCTTTTGCTTTGACATCTACTTTCGCTCGTCCGTCTTGCGTGATTTCAGTGTCTTCTTAAGTCTGCTCAATCAGCGGTAGTACACGGCAATAGGTCGCTGAGTTGTCAGTTTTCAGGTACGGGCAAGGAAGACCGCATGGCCTCTCCAGCTACGTCATCACATCACACCACATGCGTTTGCGCCCCTTTCCAACACTGAATTGCTGCAGGCTTGCTGCTATTGTAACAGGAAAACAGATGTGGATATGGAGTGGCCTTCTACAGAACGCCTGCGTAGATGCCCCACATGTCGGGGTGGCTGCGTGACTCCATCTAAGCATTATATCTTTGCTAGATGGGTATCTGGCACGCTTGCGCTTTTGCTGCAGGTGACAGGCAATTTACGCATTGAAAAAGCCGTCGTGAGATATGTGTCTGTTGTGTGATCTCTAGCAGTGTTCGATGGCATCGAGGCCGTTTGCAGTTACCTGCGGCGTATCACATTATTGAGGTGAGCATTGCGTAAATGCGGGTTAAATTGCCGGCAGACTTCATGTTTGGGGATGCGCGCTCGTGAGGCAGCGGAGGTGATAATTTTGAATTCAGTTTGCTTGCAGCGGCTTGTACGTTAGCGTGGCGTTGGTGTTCTGTGGCTGCGGAAAAGCAAAGCACCTCGGGAGAAACGAAAAGCCTGCTGCAAAATGATAAAAGACTATGGATAGCGTGGCCGAGCCTTGCCGATGCCTAGAGGCACCGCTTCAGCTTTTGGGAGCATTAGTTGATAGCCCTTGAGAGTCATGATATAAGTAGACGTCGATATACTTGTTGTGAAGAGCACCTGCCACGTGGTGCTCTGAGCCGCGAAGTAGGTTATTTCTGGCTAGTTTAAACTGTGATTGTTCTTCTTGGATTAAGCGTATTGCAATGGTATGCTGTATTGGACGACACAGTTGCATTCAGACTGGCTTTCTCGCTGTAGGAGATTGTAGTAAGGAGAGAAAAAGCAAGGGTCACACACTGTGCGGCTCTGCAATTGTGTGCGGTAGAAATACTCAGGCCGTGCGCCGACGCATGTTCTACTAACCCGAATCCGCACGGTGGTGAATTCCATCTTCTCCTACATTCGCGTCCACAGTTTCCATAAAGCAAGGGCTGAACGCTTCTTGCACAGGATCTGCCGTCACTGTCTGCAACGCCGATGGACTTGCGTGGCACCATGTCCCATTTTTCGCGTGAATTAGCGAGTTGGTCACCGCAGTTTCTTCGACAGTTCCATCCATGGATGGAACAGAAAAAGTGCATTTGTGGACATGCCAAAAGCCCTTTCCGCCAGAGTATGATGGGCATATGCGCGGGACACTGGAATTTAATGCATAAGCGAATATTTGCACCATGCGCACTTCGTAATTGGCTGAACGCTGATACATATGCGTGCACCGCCGGTAGCCTTCACCCGTGTACACTTGCTTTCTCCTATTTGCCTCGCATGATTTATCTTCCTGGTATTGGCGTGCTTCGTCTGTTAGAGAGTGGCTTTACAACGTTTAGGTTTGGAAAGGGCAGAGTACACGACGCTCTCAGCGAGCCACCTACATGACAACACAGAGGCTGCCTGGTCTCTCCATCGATATACCATTGTTCATGTTTGAGTCGTAGTTGTGTCTGGAAGAAGAACTCTCCGTGGAGTCCTCTACTGCGGCATCTGCGCGTTTCGAACATGGTGCGCATGCCTCGATTTCTGTTTGGTTCTCTGAAGAAATCTAACTTTGATTTAGGAGTTTCTGGCATCATTCATCGCCATTTAAATGCAAACTCATCCTTGATCTTAGCCTGCACGGCTTTGGGCAAATTAATGCTCGGAGTTCAGATTACGATGTCAGCATCCTTTCTATGCAAACAGTACGTCTTCGCTCAATGAGTGTTTGTATACTCTTATTTTTGGCACTGTATCAGCTCAGCATGCAGTGATCTACACACAGTTGAATTGCCTTCATTCGCCCGCGTTTCTTGCGCAACTTAAGTAAATTGAGGAGTGAACGACTCCTCCACAGGACTTGACGGCTTTTCCTGCGTCATCCATGCAATCGCATAATATCGTGCTTTTCTCCACGCACGAAGTGGAAGTTCAGCCACAGCTGTCTCATCAACAATTCCTTCAATGGATGGATCGGAAGCAGTGCTACGAGGAGAATTCCAACCGAACATTGCAGGCATGCGCACTAGCGAATGTAGTTTAACAAGTTATCTGGTCTGCGTTTGCGCGCGAAGCCCACGAGCGGTTTCTTGTGTTCGTCTCCCCAGCGCAGTGCGACACCTTATTGGGGTAGACGTCGAGTATTGCGTAGGTATCATCCGCCTTGGGCATTTGCCTTAATTTGCATGCCCCGTGGGATTTACACGTCCTGTGCTTGGGCTGTTGTTAACGGTGGTATATTGAACCCGAAATATGGCTCCGCAGCGTTCAGACTCGGAAAGGAAACAATACGCGGCGCTCTCAACGGGCAATTCAAAATGCAGCATAAACGCTGCCCGTCTCTTCGCCAAACATCCTGGTGTCTTTGCTTCTGTGCTGCTGCTACGCGGAAATAGACGCGGCCTTAGGACCGAACTCTGCAGTTCAGGGCAGTATACAGGAGAAACATGTCCCTATCTCTCTTTGATTCTAAACAGACAACCATATGTCGCTACGTTCAGTCAAACATAGCTTTGGATTGGACATTTATACTGCATTGCAACTGGGCGTATGAGCAAGAGTGTCGCTACGTTCAGTCAAACATGGCTTTGGATTGGACATTTATACTGCATTGCAACTGAGCGTATGAGCAAGAGCAGCGACATGGGCACCAGCAGTTGCTGCCGAAAGAGCAGCAGCAGCAGATCTGCGACGTCATAAGCAGCTGCACAACAGCGCAACAGCCAACACCTCTCCTTCTTTTGAACTAAAAGAGAACTTAGAACTTGTCGGCTTAAACATTAATGCGGGTAAAGAAAAGAAAAGAAGATTCTCTGCCTTCTGCAGCAAGCATGGTGGGCGAATGTCCACGAAAAGGCAGCAGCAGCAGCAACTGCTGCCGCTGAGGGAGGACAGCAGAAACAGTAGAAGAGACCGCAGCAGCAGCTTCTGTTCAGCAATAACTTTCTAGCTGACGTAACGATGAAGCAAAGAAGACAAGTCTACATCAAGAGGGGTGCGGGCCAGCCAGTGCCTAGGGCGGCCTTGTTGCGGCTTTTGCTGCTGCTCCTGCCGCTGCTCCTGCTGTTGCCGTTGCTGCTGCTGTTGCTGCTGCTCCTGCTGCTTCCCTTTCTGCTCGTACAGGTGCTGTCCACTGGCAGCAACCCACAGGCGCAGCCGGTAGGAATGGAAGGTGGATGGGGCGCATGGCAGCTGCAGCACGTGCTGCTGCTGCTGCTGCAGCTGGGCCTTCTCATTCAAACTGAGAATTGCGGAGTGTTGGCTTGCTATCTTCGCCTCAGGTGCAGCAGCAGCAGCAGCAGCTGCTGCTGCTGCTGTTGCGCGCATCCGTTGCAGTAGGGGAAACACACTGTCCTCTATGCCAGGATCAGTTGTTGCTGCAGTTATGAGACTGTTGGGTTCCACAGCATCTGCAGCAGCAACAGCAGCAAAAGATTCCGGCAGTAGCTGCGCATGCGGATGATTTGCTGCTACCCTGTAGCTTTGGAAAGCCGTCTCAAAGTCTCGATAAACCTCAGGAGGCAAAGGAAGTATGGTGCAGCTGTCCTTGCTGCTGCTGCTGCCGCCAGGTGATGCTACTTGCTGCAGCAGCAAGCGCCACGCCGCCTCAAAGACTTCTTGGGCTGTTGCAACAGCTGGTCCCGCGCTAGCTGCTGCTGCAGCACCTGGTGATACTGCTTGAGCTACTGATGCGCCACAGAAGATTTCCTTTTCTATTGATGCTGCCATTCCTGCTAGTGCCTTTGCTGTTGCTGTTTCTGCTACTGCTGGTGGAGTTGCTGCGTGCAGCAGCCTCCACTCAGCTGCTAGCAAGATAGCAGCAAGCTGGTCGAGACTAGGCCATTGCCAAGCCCCTTCTGTAATAGCACTTTGCACGTCCCGCTGTTGCTGCTGCACCACTTCCGCCTGCTGCTGCTGCTGCTGTTCTTGGTGCTGCTGCTGCAGTTGCTGCCGTCGCCGCCGCAGTGCTGACAGCAAATTTAGCACGCCGTCCATACACCGCAAGAGTCTGGCGGCCACATCGCCAGAGGGACACGCCAATCCCGTGTTGCCCTTTCCTGGTGCTGCTGCTTCTAATTTTGCTGCTGCTGTTGCTGTTGCTGCTGCTGCTTGCTGTGTTTCCGCTGCGGCCTGCCTCTCGAGCTGCTGCCTCAGCAGCGCAACGAATAAAGACAAGTCTGCTGCAAGTGCACCGTCTGCAACATTTCCAGCTTTTCCTTTGTCCCTCACCGCAGCAGCAGAGGCGGCTGTTGCTGCTGCTGCTGCTGTTGCAGTAGCTGCTGCTGCTCTGATGGTCAGCAGCTCTAGCACTGACTCCGCAAAACGTGGGTCCAGATGCCACCGTGAGGTGTGCAAACACCTCAGCAACAACCGCACAGAACTGGCGATGCTGCTTAATGCATGCAAAAGCTGTGCTGCTGTACCAGGTACCTTGTGCAGCTCGTGGTGTTGTTGCTGCTGCTGCTTCCCTTGTAGCTGCTGCTGCGGCCCCTCGTGTTCCTGCTGCCCCTCGTGTTCCTGCTGCTGCTGCTTTTTGCAGTGCACTGCGGCTGAGAGCTGCACTGCTTGCTGCTGCTTCCTCAGCAGCGCGGCGGACTGCAGCAGCTTGTCCGCAGCGCGCTGCTGCAGTGTCTGCAGCATTTGCTGCCGTGGTTGTTCTAGCTGCTGCTGCACGGTTTGCTGCAGCTCTGTGCTGCTACTGCTGCAGCTTTTCCGTCTAAAGGCGTCGAGCCTTGCAGCAATCAGAGACAGCCGAGCAAGTGCAGCGAGAGACACACTGCGTTTTCTCTTTGTTGCTTGTGCTGCTGTTGCTGCTGTTGCTGCTGTTCCCTCTGGCTCTGATGCTTCTAGTGCTGTGCGGGGCACAGTTAGCCCAAGAAGATGTTGCTGGTGACACTGCAGCAGTACCAGCAGCAGACAAAAAAGGAATTGCTCTTCTGCTGCGTCATGATGGATGGGGTTGTTGTTACTTTCGGTGGTTTCGATTTCAGCATACCTCTAGCAAGCGCATGCAGTCGCCGTAGAGCTGCTGCTGCTGCTGCTGCTGCTGCCGCTGCTGCAGGGCTGGACGTAGCTGCAACGGCCACGCACTCGCTGCTTCGCTGCAGTGTAGCAGCAACAGCTCCTGTGTTCTTTGCTGCAGCAACCGCTGCTCTGCTCTACGACTTCCTTCAGCCGCCAGCCCCAGCTGCAGAATCCACACATAAAAGTAAAAAGGCAGTCTGCTGCTGCTGCTGCTGCTGCTGTTGCTGTTGCTGTTAGCCGAGATGACTCTGCTCCGCAGCAGAAATATCCAGTGTCTTTGCCGCCGAAGCAGCAACCCATGATGCAACAGCAGCAACAACTAACATTTCAGCAGCAGTCCTCACCAGCAGTTTCCAACTCCCACTGCATGCATCCCGAGGCTGCAGCAGGCCTCCCTGCTGCTGCTGCTGCTGCTTCAGCTGCGCCCATACCAGCAGCTGGCCCCGCAATCCCTCTGCTGCTGCCAGCAGCAGATCCTCTGAGACGTGTCTGAAAGAATGTCCACAGCTCACAGCAGCATGTAGGTGGTGGTGCTGTTAATGCTACTGTTGCTGCTGTCGCCGCTGCTGCGGCTGCTTCTAAGATGCTGCTGCTGCTGCTGCTGCTTTCAGCACCGCCACAAGCCTTACCTGAGGGTCCGAAGCACTTGATGAGACGCTAGCTCAAACGCGCTGTGTGCCGCATGTAGCATTGCTGCTGCTGCTGCTGGGGTTGCTGCTGCTGCTGCTCTCCCTATTGCTAATGAGCCTTCAACGTTCTCAGGAGCATACGATGACGCTGTGGCTCGCCCACCTGTTGGGTCTTCGGCTCCAGCTGCTGCTGTTGCTGCTGCTGCTGCCGACGCCGTTGCTAAGGCAGCGCGTGGCAAGTGCAGCAGAAGGGCATGCAGTGTGTCCGACAAGGCTGGTGCTGCTGCTGCTGCCGCTGTTGCAGTCGACGGTGTCGCTGCAGGGAGCGTCTCCGCTCTGTGGCGCTGTAGCAGCAGCGAGCGCGGCAGTGCCTTGCAGACGCTAAGAACTGCTCTTAGTGCTGCTGCTGCTGCTGGGATTGCTGCTGCTGCTGCCGGGGCTCCGACAGCAGCAGCAGCGAGCACCAACTGCTGCTGCTGCAGAGACAGCTCCTCTGCACCCTCTCTCGCAACCCAGTCCAATACAGACCTGCAAAACCCAAACGTCAAAGCCTAAACCGTAAGCGTCAAACCCTGAAGCCTAAACCCTGACATCGCTCTCTACTTAGAGCCAAGCTTACCGTAAGTGCCTCCCACCGCTTCAAGCTCGCACGTTACCCTAGACCCTTAACCCTAAACCCTAATTGTAGGAGGCACGCGCTTCCTCAAGTGTGGTGTACAGTAGTGTAAGGGGGCAGCGCCTTACTCAAGAGGCAAACGCAGAGATGTGTCTGCTGCTGCTGCTGTTGTCTGCAGCAGTGCCAGGCGGTGCTGCAGCTGCAGCAATGGAAGAGAGTGCAGCAGCCGCAGAAGTAGCTGCCGCCACGCTGCAAGCCACACAGCTGGCTGAACAGCCATTGGGTCGCCAATTGATGCAGCTGCTGCATTCGCCGCTGCTCTTGCTGCTGCTATTGCTGCTGTCTCGGACGAACATGGGTCTACTTGGTGCGCCTGCCACTGCTGCTGTTGCCGCTGCTGTGATGCTTCACGCAGCGGCGCCATCCATTTAAGAACAGACAGCAGATGCTGGGCGGTGAGCGGCACCAGAGGCTCCTGCTGCTGCTGCTGTTGTTGCTGCTGCTGCATGCGTGGGGCGAACTCGCGCGCGAACGGGTCTTGGTCTACAGCCAGCGCACTTGAAAGGGAAGGGCACAGCCACCTGGAGCAACAGCAAAAGATAGCACCAGCTAGTGCAGCAGTGATGCATGCAGACACGGCTGCTGCTGCCGCTGCTGCTGTTACTGCCGCTGCTGCAGTGAAGATGCAGCAGCAGCAACGCGCTGCTTACAAAGCCTATTCGTTCTCAGCATCCCGACACCAATTACTACATTTTTTTATCACTAATTAAAAATAATAATATATAAATGTAGGGTGTAAAGTGTTGCATATTTATTCTGTCAATGCTGAATATTCATTCATTGTTTAGGTGGGAACTAATTGTACAACTTGCTCTCAAGCTCAAACTGAGCTGAAAGTAACAACAATAAACGACTAGATAATTTGTTTATACAATTATTTTGCTGACAACTAATTAATACAACAAGGCGTGCTGCTGAAGTAACTGCAGCTGCAGCTGCAGCAGCAGCTGCAACAGCGCCTAGCGGGAGTAGACTTACAGCAGCAAGTAACGCTCTAACTGATTGTTCCGCAGCCGTGCTGCGGCAAGGCCTTCGCTGCAGATACAGCCCAACACAGCAGTAGCAGCAGCTGCAGCAGAGTCTTTAGCGTGCAACAGGGGGAGCTAAGGCCCAGGAGGGCATGCAGTAGAAGCACCTGCATGCAACGGGGGCTGAGAGCGTCACTGCAGCATCGGCAGCGCGGCAGCAGCAGCAGCAGAAGCATCAGCAGCACTGGAAGCAAAAGTGCCTACCAAATAAGCCCAATCTCCTGTCCCCCAGCTCGGCCCTCTAGCAGCGCCAGAGGCAGAGCTTCAGCTGTTTGCTGCAGCAGCAGAACTGCCTCCTTGTGCAGCAGCTCATAGACCTTGACAGCTGCTGCTGCAGCTCCGCAGCCGCTGGCCGCAGCGACGCTGCAGATTGTGTCGGCCGCAAACGGAGAGACACAAAGCTGCGGCGGAAGCTGGTGCAACAACAGCTCAGTTTCAGGCACTGAAGCGCTGCCAGCATAGGGGGCAACAGCAGCAGCTGCTGCTGCTTCTGGTGCAACAGGGCCTGCGGACGTGCTGCTGCATGCCAACTCAGCTGCAGCCCGTCTGCCGCTTTGCGCTGTCGCGGCAGCAGCGGCCTCAGCAGCAGCAGCAGCAGCAGATGAATCCCCGGCAGCAGCAGCTGTGAGAATGTGCATTCGGGAAAGGCAGCCAATTATGCCCGCAAGGTGGCGCACTGCAGCAGAATCTGCGTCTATGCGCCTGGCGCGCCGCAGCAGCAACAGCAGCAATGCAGGGTCCGTCTCTGCAGCAGCAGCAAAGCAGCAGAACAAGCAGGAAATGCCTGCAGCACAGCAGCCTCTCTCGGGGTCTCGAGCTGCGCAGCAACGACCAGCAGCAGCAACACCGTCGCTGCAGCAGAAGCAAACAGCCGACAGGTGCAGCACTGCAACAGCAGCAAATAAAAAACGGCAGCAGCATACCAGCAGCAGCAAATAGAAAACAGCATCAGCAACTCGGCAATAGCAAATAGGCAAGACGTACCCCGAAATCGTTCGCAGCAGCGGAGCTGCCTGTACACCTCAGAGAGGCCCATATCTTCGTGAGCAGCAAGATGCTGCAGCAGCACCCTCCACCCAAGGTGCAGCACCGCCTTCTGTCTCTCGCGCTGTTGCTGCAGCATCCCCAACTGGTGCTGCTGCTGCTGCTGCTGTGGCAGTTGCAGCAGCAGCTCCTGGAGCGGCGGGGTGCCTGTTCGCAGCCGCAGCGTGGGCTTCGGCTCTACCTGCTGCATGTGCTGCTGCATGGTGCTGCTGCTGCTGCTGTTTTGCGGCAGCTGCTGAATGATGCTGCTGCTGCTGTTCTGCGGCAGCTGCTGAATGATGCTGCTGCTGCTGCTGTTCTGCGGCGGCTGACGAATGGCGGTGCTGCTGCTGCTGCTGCTGTTCTGAGGCAGCTGCTGAATAGTGCTGCTGTTGCTGCTGCTGTTCTGCAGCAGCTGCTTCACACCTCCCCCAGCACCAGGAGGCGCCAGTCGTGGTACGAGAGCTAGGACAGAATGCTGCTGCTTCCGGTGGTGCTGCTGCCGCCTGAGGAGCACCGGCAGTGTAACTGCTTGCTGCTGCTGCTGCTGCTGCAGCTGCATCTGCTGCAGAAGCGGGCGCAGGTTCTTCAGCAATAGCTGCAGCGGCAGACGCCGTGGCCGTGCTGGCAGCAGCAGACAGCACTTCAGGAAGTTCTTGACTGCAGCAACAGCAGCACCAGCAACAAATACAGCAGAAGCGACACTCGCTGCAACAGTAGCTGTGGCAGCAGGACGAGCAGCAGTCACAATCCAGCAGCAGCAGCAGGCGCGATCCAGCAGCAGCAGCAGCAAGGTAACAGTTGGAAGCAGACACAGAAGCAAACAAAAGCGTCTACCTTTAGGGTCCAGCACCACCTCGTCTGCAAGTGGGGCTTTCGTTCCTCCACGCATGCGTTGTCGCGTCCGGTGCACTTGCTGCTGCTGCTGCTGCTGTGACTGCTGCTGCTGCTGTAAATGCTGCTGCTGGTGCTGCTGCTGCTGTAAATGTTGTTCTCGGTGTTGATGAGGCGGCTCTGAGGAGCAAAACGCCGCCGCGCTGCTGTGCTGCTGCCGCCGCAGTGTCAACACATGACTCACGTGCTGCTGGGCTTGCAGCAACTGCTGCTGCCTCTGCAGCAACGGCTGCTGCGGAAGACTCCGCTGCTGCAGCTGCTGCTGCAGCTGCTGCTGCAGCGCCAGCGGCGGCTGCAGCAGTTGATGCTTGAAACAAACGGGCATCATTGCCTTATCCTTAGTGGTGCTGGAATTTGCACCTGCTACAGCAGGCTGCTGATGCTGTTGCTGCTGCTGTTGCTGCTGCTGTTGCTGCTGCTGTTGTTGCTGCCACTGTCGCTGCTACGACTGCTTCATGAGCAAGGCTGTGTCCAGACAGCACGGAAGCAGCAGCAGCGGCAGCAGAAAATCCAACTCACAGCAGCAGCATCATATGCTGCTGGGATCGTTTGCTGCAGCTGCTGCGGAGGCAGCAATAGTCAGAGCTTCTGCAGCAGCCGCTGCTGCAGACACTGCTGCAGCAAACGCCCCGGAAGCAGCCTGTGCAGCAGCTGCAGCAGCAGCAAAGGCCTCAGCTGCGCTCTGCTGCAGCTGTACCTGCAGGTGGTGCTGCTCGTCGTTGGGGAGGCAACTGCTTTGGGGCTGCTGCTGCTGTTGTTGCTGCTGTTGCTGCTGCAAGTGGCGGAACAGCACTTGTCGCTCAAGATGCTGCAGCTGCTGCAGCTGATCTGGGGAGTATGTGCCCTGTGACTCCTGCTGCGGCTGCTTCCCTTGTAGCAGCAGCAGCGGCTGCTGGTGCTGCTGCTCTGTTAGCCGCTCCTGCTGCAGTTGCTCGGGCAGCTGCCGCTGCAGCGGTGGCTGCAGGCGCTGCTCCTGCTCAGCCTGAGGAGGCGGCTGCAGCGGCAACTGCTGCTGCTGCTGCTGCTGCAGTGCTGGGTCTGGACAGATCATACTGCTGCTGCTATTGCGTTGCAGTACTTCTTTTGCTGTTCCCACTACTGGCGTGGCTGCTTCTGCAGAGTCCCCACCTGCAAGCTGGGGTGCTGCTGCGTGCTGCAGCGGCGTTGCTGCTACGGCTCCCAATGCTGCTGCTGCTGCTGCTCCCGATCCGACAAGGCGCCTCGCGCCCCTTGTCTGCTGCACACTTACTGGGCTCAAAGTGTTTGAGAAGCAGTTGGCGGGCCGGCAGCCACCTTTAGGTGCCTTCGGTTCCCTGTTGCGGCAGCAGCAGCAGCCGCTGCTGCTGCTGCTGCTGCTGCTGTGGCCACTGCCGCTGCAGACAGGAGCACAGGGGGCCCCGCTAGCGATTCAATCGACAGAGCCTTGTCCAAAGAGAACACTTAAATGCACACACTGGCTGCTGTAAACTGGGATCTGCACAATGCAACCAAATTGGAGAAGCCTCTACAGAGAGGGTTCCCAGCTGGATTGTTTCGTTTGCTGCTGCCATGCTGCTGCTGCAGTGGGGAAGGCCCCAAGGGGGGCCCCTGGGGCTCTTGTGCGCATGCAGCGCTACACCTTAGCTTGTTTTGCGCAAAAAAAACATGTTTATTTTCATATATTTACCCCTTGTGCAGCATATTTCATGCTTTGAAGTCATTGGGACCGAGTGACCTCCGCCGTTGTCTACCAGCGATGGAGCAAATACTCCCTCATGTCACAATTCAGGAATCTTTGCCGCAGGAGCGAACTGATTAGAAAGCTGCTGCAGCAGCTTTCAAGTCTGGCTGCTTCCTTACGTGCTGCACCGGGTGCCCACGCCTGCAGCTGCCGGGCCTTAGCCGCAGCAGTGAAGGGAGGGCGCTTGTTAAGTTCTGCTTGACTGGTCATGGCAGCAGCTGCTAGGTCATTGTGCTGCTGTTGCTGCTGCTGCTGCTGCTTCTGCGAGCTTGCCCGCGCCAGTGTGCTTCCGAGACATGCAGCTGGCAGCGAGAGAAGCAGTGGCGGGTAGGGAAAGCTGCAAGAGAACAGTCAGTATTGAAGTTTAGGCGGAAAAATTACAAATTACTTGATGCAAAAGCTTAACATAACTTATTTAAAAGTCGCTCAGGTGTAGTTTAGTGATCAAGTAGCAGACAAGCTAGGACTCCCCCATAGCTTTGGCCTCCTAATTCTTGTGAGAACCCACGCATTGTGTGGACAAGCAGGGCGCCTCATGGCTAGAGGAGGGTCCCAGGCCTATAAATTGGATATTCACTGAAAGCCATTTCTCTAGATCTTAGCAAAGACCTCGTTGCCATGTCTGTAAAGGCTCATACATAAGATTTGCTATGGAAAGAGGCTCCTGAAGCAGTTTGAGCCACAGGTAGATAGTGTATCCCTGTGCTGGAGCTTCTATTTGGACCTTACCACCAGCGCTCATTTTATTTGTAGGCACTCAGCCAAATCTCTACAACAAGTGCAGTATTACATGCCCCGATGTACCAGAGTGTGTCTACGACTTTCCCGATCACTCGAGTGAGACTCAGAGAGCTGTATATGTTCCCAGTCAACCTTGAATAAGACTCTGTTTATATTCAAGCGGTTTCTTTGCAAACAGTGCAACTTGGTGGCCAGAATTTGCGCGTCTTAGGCCCCTAGAAAGCCTAAGTTGCATATTCAGCACACGCAACCGGAAAGGGCTTTGCAGCTTTCTGGCTCCGCTCAACGTGTGCACGGCCTAGAGCTATCTGTAGTATAGTGTTTCATAATACCATAACTTCTTAGCATCTCTTCGAGTCTCTACAGCAGTTCCTTCCTGGCAAGGAATACTTTGCTTAACGGCCCCAGACCTTACACTGGTAGAGAGCTAACGCCTCTTTCTAGAGCCTTTGCTCTCGGGAAAGACCTTCTTCCTGTGGTGTGTTCTGGTAGTTGTGTTCGTTTAAAGCCCCTGCAGAATTGATAATTAGTAGTCTTTGTATCAATTGCCTGTTCTGACCAGTCACGGACAGCGAATGGGAGCCAAGGCACGGGCTGCCTCACCGCAGGGTGATTGCTTTGCTGTTTCAACTTGGTCGTTGCAGCCCACGAATCGGTTAAGAAGGTCGTTTTGTATATGCTTAGCATATCATGATTTTTACTGTTTGCGTCTCGCTTTACTAGGGATGGGAAGTGTGCAATATTCTTTGCGTGATAACTGTTCTATTGGACTTTGGCCAGCACTTCAAGTATTTTCCTCCGTTTTAGACTACAGAAAGTACTATGGAGCTGCTGTTTCGCAAGCTTCCCAATTTTTAGTTCTACAGTATGCTCAGGACCCATCAACCTCAGAAGAAGAACGTCCTACGCAGCCAAGCTGTTCGTTCCATCGGCTCGGGTTCGACGCCATACGGGAGAAGCCGAATCCCACACAGGCGAGAAAGTTCATCTGGATGCTTTCTCCCAGCACCTTTTGTAGACTAAAATGATCCTTTTAAGTTCTTTTGTTCCAGCATGGCCCGCAGCGGTTTGATCGCGGAGGTGAGCTGCTGAGCGATGTGCACCTGGCTTGCAGTTTTGCCACCGAGCCCGGGCACTGGAGCTTAATGGCCCGGTTTCCTGTGCTGCTTTTTCTGCCTCCCTCAATATTGTTTTCGTTATTTTCCTTTGCGGGGCTCACGCTGGCAGCTTCCATAGTGGAAATCAACAATTGAGACTCTCCAGCTTCAGTGATCCCTCCGCCATAGAGGTGTTCACCACCTACAAGGCAAATGCTTACTAGAAGTTTAACGAAGCGTTTGTTTGTGAGTCGCTGTTTATACGCGAGGTGTGTGAGGGAGCTCACCGATGCCAGAGCAGCCTCAACTGTGTTGCGGAAGCTTTCCTTAGTTTCCCGAAGCTTCGTTCTCAGAAGGTGACAGGCTTGGATGTCTTTCTAACATCATATAGCAGTAATTTAAATAGAACATTGTGAGTGAACACATAATTTGCAGAGGAATTAAAAGAAGACTAGCCTCCTTTTGCAACGACTGACCCACAGCATGCAGAGAGTCCGTCCCCACTCCAGCATTGCTGAGTGTTTGAAGCTCTCAGCCTGGATGATAAGTAGTTAGAGTCTAACCACACTCAAAAATGAGTTACTTTACAGGCACCATGCCGAAGTATTGCGTTGCCTTTGTTTATTCTGGCGTATGAATTCCCCCCACTTCGCCATAGTGTCCCACTGTAGTGCGCAGCGATACACATGGGCATGCAGCGCCCCGTTTAGAAGGATTCCAAAGCTGCGCATTATTTGTCTCCTTTTATCTTCCTAAAACTCACCAGAGACAGCTTTATCCGGATCCTTTGTTAAGCTGTACATATGCAGCATCAAACGAAGCTTGCTTTTGTTTTAGTCCGCCTTCGCATGGCTGCTAACTTCGTTTGAACGCTGAGTGACTAACCCTCCAAAGTACGCTGCAGCTGTGGAGCAATAGAAGTAATGCACATAAAATAATAATTAAAAAAGCAACGGGGCCCGCTGCCCAGCTGTTCCAGGCGACCGCTACTGATTGTAGTAACAGTGGGGCAACATTTTTCCACGGCTCAGCCAACCCTGGTGAACCAGAGCAACGTGGCCAAGCCACACTAGGGATGTGGCTCTAATAGGCCGTATAATAGAGATACATGTTTACTTCCGAGCGATAGGAAGACTTAAGTAGCTGGCAATACTCTCCACCAGAATTGCAGGTTGCCCAGTCTAGCAGTGCGGCTAGTTCTTAACGCCTCTTCGTAAAGGAGTTAATCCCTTATTCCTTTACGGACACATAGAGGAACGTACCACGGAGTCCCCAATATCCGACGACTCATACAGCTTCTGTGGAGCGAACCCTTGCTGAAGCTTTTGCCGAGATGATCTATGCCGTAGATCAGGCGCGCTTCTCATCAGAAAGCCTACATCCTTTGCCTCCTGCTTTTCCCGCACTTCTCATCGTGCATGCAGTCTCAGACATCTATAGAAAGGCACTGCTTAGCAGCGCCGTCTCAGGACAATCTCCGTGGTGCCTTACATGCTTTCGCCGCGTCTCCAGCAAAGGTCCACATGACTGAAGATCTACGCAGGCCTATTTTGCAAAACTTATAGATTAAACATGCGCCTAGGAAGACGATACAAACGAAGGTGAAGGCCCAGATGCTGGCAGCGAAGGCGATGTTGCGCACTGTTCAGAGCCTGCTTTCCAAAGCATTAGAACTTGAATGGCAATTCTCGCGAGATGCAGATTATTAAAGAATGTAATCTGGTGACTACACTTCGCATTAAATCCCTTGAGAGTCAGGGAGCCCGCCCGTAGGACGAAGATCGAACTAATGCGCATGAGTTAAGAGCTGCACAGAAGCCATAAAGAGCCCCATCGCGCCGAAGTGAGACTGTAATATTTGGCGCCACACAGAACTCGAGAATTTAAGTTAACAGTTTAAGTTTGAAGGCTGCTGGGCGCTGAGAATAATGTTTTGAATTACAGGATACAGGGAGGCCACAGAAAGCAACCTTCGTAACTGCTAACTGCTGCCACACTCAGTCACAAGCAGGAGTTCAGCATCAAAGCCACAGCTTTCCAGGCTAGCGCAGCATGCTGCAGCGCCCGGCTGCCTCTGGTGTCCTTCTAAGGCACTGCAGGCCATAGGCCATACTTGAACGTTTTAGCTGTGTGCAGAAGCAGAGTCCTGCAGGCTGATGTTTCCCCTCAATAGTTTAGCGAGGCAGAGGCCCTCTAGCTGGCCGCTAAATAGACAAGGGCTGCAGCGTTGCAGAGCGCTACAGCCAACAGACCCTGCAGCAGCTAGCTGCCTGCAGCGCGCCTGCAGCAAATTGCTCAAAGGTAACGCACTGCACATAACATGAGGCCCCTGGGGCCTCTAAAGTTGCCAGTAAAGCGCTGGACAGCTCTGGGGAAGCAGCTGCAGCAAAGCCCGCCGTGTACCGCGCGTAATCTGAAGCATCTGGCCTTCCTCGCAGCAGCGCGCAGCAAAAGGTGCACCAGCAGCAGGCTCTTGATGTCAGAAGACTCAGCGCTCCCCCCCGCCGAGCGCAGCGGCCCTGCAGTGTGCCGGGCCCCTCTGTTCATCCCTTGCAGCGTCTCGCAGCTCTTTAGCGTCTGCTGCCGCTTGGGATGCCGTCGGGGGCCCCTGGGGCTGCAGCAGGCGCGGGTTTCTGCTGGGCATTTGGCGGCTCCCGGGGGAAAGCTGCGGGCGCGGCGCGGGGGGCAAGAGGCCCATTGAGGACAGACAGAGATCTAAGCAGGGGTGTTGTGTCCATAAGTCTCGAAGTAAACAAAGGCAGCAGAGATTGGAGAGAAGGAAGCGATATCCTCGCTCCCTGCTTCGCAGTTGCTGCGGCTCTGTCGCTCTCTGTCTCTCTCGGAGCTGACACACCGCTGAAGAATCGTTTGGGCGGAGTTTCAAAGGGTCAATAAACACCCTTTTGAGGGTTAAGAGCGCTGAAGCCGCCCTTTTCTCGGTAGAAGATGGAGGGAGACTGTCTACATCCGTCTTTGTAGGGTCTGGCGCAGCAGCAGCAGCAACGACGACGGGGGCCGCCCAGCGGCAGCCAGCACCAGTAGGTTTCGGCTCTGTTTTTTTCCATTGCTGCTTATATTTAGAACCTTTGCCTTCATGGGGCCGCGCCAGAACTTCCCCACCCCAGAGGAGCCATCCCTGCCTCGTTTCTGTGGGGTCCTCCCGCGGCAGGGGTAGACACCTTGGGCGTCTGCCTTCACCGGTTTCCCCCCCAAAGGTCCCTTTAAACTTCGTTTTCTTTCATTTCGCCTCAACTGCGTTGCTGCCTCAGCC